CTCTTGTGCTGCTGCAACTCCTTTTGCTTTTGCATGGTGGCCTGGCTCGGGGTATTGATTCAGGGTTAAAATAACACGGCAGAAGGACTTCAAGCTGTCTTAAACCAGCTGCTGGTTCATCATGAGGCTGTGTAAACAGTTACCCTGGCACCCAGAGCAGCCAGGATGTGGAAGGCAGAAGGACTGTGAGGTGTAGAACAGATTTCCTCTGCTCTTCTCTAGTTCTGACTTTAAGAAACTGGTACACTACCAAGTAGGGTAACTGAGCCTTTGCTTAGAAACCACAAGCATCTCATTTGAGAGGGAAGATGGATACCTGTCTCAGCCTTTCTGCTTTTGTTTCCTTGCATTTTTTGGTGGTGGTATAAATTTTCTTTACTTTTGTGTCTTTAAATTTTTTCCTTATTTCTTGCTTTGCATGTTATGCTTGTTTTTACTGCTGTGCTTCTGCTGTAAATACCACAGTGAAATCCAGGGTTTGGAACACAGGACTTTGCTGGCAGTTTTTGCTCTTCCTATACTTAAATCATTGATCTGAGACTTTGGATGCTGCTGAAATAGAAACAGCTGATGCTCGTCCAGTTAAATTGCTGAGGTATAGTTTATAGTAAGAGACTTATGTTTAATAAGACCCTTTTAATCCAATGGTTAATACTTTTGTAGAAAGAATACGTAGTAAGCTAGATAGCCAGTAGCAATTCAAATGTGGTTATACATTCTGAAATATGCTGTGTGAAGAACTGGCTTGATGAACCACTGAAATAGATTAGTAACCAAGGAGATGATTAAACTGGTTTTGCAGGCTCTATTTGACCTGACAGAGAAGTTACTAAACAGTATGTTCTGAAAGTCTCGTAGCAAAGGACTTGAACATCCTTTCTGTGGTCCCTTTCACTCTCTCCTTCCCCAGGGCATGCATGTTGGAGAGAATGGTGACAGCTCTCTGCTGTATGAGCCAAGTGTTTCCAGTGTCATGCCAATAATTAACAACACTTTTCCCCTTTATGTCCAGAGAAAGGGGAATTCTAAATAAAAATTAATCTTTGAAGCTGCATGACTTGAAAGCCTTGAACTCCAAAGGTAGCATCACCATGTTTTAGGACTGCCACTTTCGGGGCAAGAAGCTGATTGTGTGTTTGAATCTCACTCCAATTGGTTTTGTTTTTACTTTGTGAAAAGTAAAGTCTGTGCAGTGCAGCTGTACCAGGTGTCTGTTGTCAGTGCTCTGCTGTAGGTCCTGTAAATTCCAGGGGAAGTGCTTCATCCTTTCTGCCAATCAGGTGAACAGTGCTTAAATGTCAGATACAGGTTTTCTGCTGTAGAATTTGGCCAGGGTGGGCATGGAGAGAGAATGAGTGTTCTGTTAGCCCTGGCAGTCTCGAGCTCTCTTCCTGGTGGGTACTTTAGTATTACACTACAGTAATTTTCCCTTGGATCCAAGTGTTGTGCCAATGTCTGTAAGTGTCTGAAGACCTTATTAAAAAAAAAATAGATGGAGTTCTAGTCATCTGTGACTTGAAACGTTGTTATGGTGAAGGTGAGGGTTGCACTGAAGTAGAATGGAGACGTCAGAAGCTCTCACCTATTATGAAAGTGTTCCTTTGTTAATGGCTTTTGGCAATTGCACGATCAGAAATATACTAAGCTCCAGAAATGTTGCACAGTTAAACCTGAAGAAGGGAAGTGCAGGCAGAGTCAAAAATGGCTGATAATGGTAATTGCTTGGAAACTGGACACTCCTTCATGGGAGAAGTCTGATGACAGTAGGGTAGGTGGCTGGCTGTGTGAAGGTTAGACTACATTTTAGATGACTGATTGAACACCTGTAGTCAGCAGAACCTTAAAGCTGCACCAAAAAATTGAGTTATGCCTGTTTTGAATAAAACCTGAGTTTCATCTCTCTCCCCTCTCTCTTCTATTTAGGAATAACCTAATTTCCTAGGGTATAATTGTGTTTATGTTGTGTCCCTAAGGATTGTGAGAAGTGAATTTGAAGTTTTCTCCTGTAGCAGTGCATCCATTATGGATAGAAGGAGCTTTTAAATATGGAAAATGTGTGCTTCACTTAAATTGCTCTTCTGAGGACACAGTGTCTGTTTTTTCTTGCAATTTAGTCAGTTTGTATGTTGTCACAGATTAAACAGAATAAGGAGCTTGGCATGATAACTGGCAGTAGCAGAAGCAGCTACCAGTCTGCACTCAAGGTGTGTGAATGGTGGCTTATGTCAAATTTGGGACTGATTTATACATAGGAAGTATCCTAAGCAGCTTTCTGTAGGGATATAAACTTGTGACTGCTGTTGTCAATGATTATAAAGAGGTAAGGACATGAAAATGGATTACTTTCTCTTCAGGCTTTTTTAGCTTTCTTGAGGGTGAGAAAAAAACTAAGTTTGCTTGGGAGCTTGATCAGATAGTCCTTCTCCCTTGAAATGGGGCTCAAATTCAGACAGAGCATTAACTGATAAATGCAGAGCTGCAGGGCAGAACCTGTGGTTGTCTCAGGAGCACAGATGTGTGATGGCCTGACTTCTGTCCCTGCTGTGTGGTCCCTGGCAGAATTGTCTGGTTTCTTTAGGATGTTTTGACAGGAGAATTTCTGGAGCAACATTGCTCACAATATGAGGCTATGCAGCTTTGCCACTTAGGTGTGAGCATTTGCCCGAGTCCATTTGCTGCTGACAATTATTTCCAAAGGGTTGTAGTTGGGGTGGGATTGTCAAGTAGGTGATTACTGTATATGGAGTCAGTACTGGCAAGAAAGTTGTGGGGGATGATTTAATTCTTTCACCAAAACTTTAGGGCTGGTTTGCTGGTGGTGAGATTACTTAAGGGATTACTTACATGCTAAACCATTAATATCCTTTGCACAAGGTTGGGAGGAGGGGTGGAGAAACTTTTCCCTGTTAGGAGGAGGAGAGAGAATTGGCACATTTTAACCTTGCTATATGTTTAAGATTAACTTTCTCGTATCACTTTCCAAATCATTAAATGGTCAGTCTATCTGATGGTTATAAAACTTGAGGTAAAATCTTCATGAATTTAGCTTCATTAAAAATGTGTTTGGTGGGGCCCTATTGGTAAGGTAAGACAAAATGGAATCCTTGGAAAGGTGGCATTGTGCCACCTCATCTATGGGTGCTTCAGCCACGCAGGGCACATCAGAGCTCTAAAGATCACTCTTGCAGATGAAATTTCAGGCTCTGGTTATCTGTACTGGTTTTATACTGGTGGGCATGAGTTTGTTCAGGGGACATGTCACCTGTGCTACAAGAACTTGAACCTCTGAGGGTACTGCTGATTGATTGTTTCATTCCTTGGTGTTGAGTTGTGGTTCTCACACTAGTAATACGAGCTTTGGGCTGTTTTCAATTTTGGCTGTACACTGTGCATTAAGCAAACAAGCTTTGCTCATATGTAACAGCCCTTGGAAGTTTTTGTCAGCTACCCGTTCTGGAACGCTAGATCTTTTGGCTCAGAGGTGTTTGGGTGCAGTAGGCTGAGCTGAGGGGGAGGGCTGTGCACATGCATTGGGATAATAATCCTCAAGGCCATCACCATTGTTGGAAAACTGGCTGCAATTGCATGTTGCTGTAGTGACAAACTGGACATGACCTCAGCACAAGTCTTTAACATACAGTTGTGCTGCAGTTATAAAACATACCCTCTGTCATTAGAAGTAAGTTAAAGAATAATCTGAGAATGGTAGACCTGGTATGCAGTGTAGGTTTGGAGTGTCGGATAGTGCTAATAAGCCTTTAAGACTGTAAATTCTTTTAGTTGCCTAAACATGCTTTGGAAAGTTGAAAGTTTGTTTTCTAGCACAATCTTAAGCCCTTACAGGCACTGTTAACTCTGCTTGAGTTATGTTTGTAAGTCTGCAGGGCTACAGCCTGAGGCAGGAGTGCTGGGAAGGAGGAGGGGATGTTTGGTTTCATATTTGCTTTCAAAGAGAATTAGTCTCAGTTACAACTCTGGTTTTGGAAGAGAGAATTGGAATGTGATTCAGAGGAGAAAAGGTGAGCAAGGCACGGGTTGTTGTGGGGTTTTTTTGGGGCAGATAAAGCTGAGCAGCATCCTGGGAGTGTTGTCTTCTGTATCAGTCTAAAGCTGCAGTGATCTAGTAGTTTTTCTAGCAAGAAAGTCAAATTGAAATTCGTTTAACTCACAAGATGCTTTATGCTATGGCTTGCCAACATCTACTGTATTTTAGGTGTGACAATGTGCTAAGCACCTTAGGAATTAGTTTAAGGGTGATACTTTGATTCTGTAAGGCCTCAATTAACAGCTACTCTCTCTGTGGTCATCCTGTTAAATCAGAGGCTGAAGAAGGGGATTCGGTTTCTCCCAGATCTGCCTCAGTAGCCTCAAGTGCTTATAGACATCTGCCAGTAGTAGCAATGACTGTTGGCAGTAATTCCAGAATAAGACCTGGGGAAGGGAACTGATGAATGAGAACACCAGACTCCTGCAGCTGAAAGGACAAAATATATATTGAACAGGAGATGAGGATTGATTACTCCACAGGTTACTCTCTTCTTGAAAGAACGAGAAATTTGTATTTCAATTTCTGCACTGAATGGAAGCTTCAATTTCTGCATGAGGCATTTAAAGTCCTTCAAAAGCACAAAATAGGTTTTCTTTTTAGGCTATTACAGCCCCATAGGTTGTGGTGTCATGTAGTGTCTGCTGTGCTGCTCGTGGCAATGTAAGAGCAAAACAATGACACTTCTGCATCATCATCTGTGGAACATGTGCCCATGGTTCTCCACTCATAACATCTGGTTTGTTAAATACTTTAGCTTTATCTTGTATTCCTGGCCAGCTTTTAGAGCTGGCTCAGCCAGCTACATGCAGTAAATAACAGAGCTGAAAAGATAAGTTTGCCCTTTCCTTTCCGTGACATGACCAGGCACTTCACCTGTTGCCTTGGATGCTGGGTTTGTGCTTTCCTCTGTGTGCAGTGCTGGCTTGACCTCTTTGCCTTGTCTTATTTATTCAGATCATGGAGCTGAAATGGCTACTGTATGTGACCCTGCTAGCTCTGGGGACTCTTGCTGCCCAGGCACATGATATGGATGAAGACAATGATGGTGATGATGTGGTTGATATCGAGGATGACTTGGATGATGGCATTGAGGAGGTAGAGGAGTCAAAGTCTGAAACCAGCAGTCCTCCTCCAGCTCCAAAGGTTTGGCATGGAACTTCTTTTAAAAATTGAATTTCTGCTTGTGTTGTGATTAATGTGAGTCTGATCAGAGTTGTCTTTACTTTGCTGACCTTTATTGTGTTGTGATGTTATTAAAGATGTTATCTGGGAGTAGGGCTTGGAATTAAGCTTGACTGCTTTGTTCTAATTCTCATGTCCCCCATGTGCTTCCAGAAGACTTAGATCTAGCCTTGAAATCTGTGATGTGATTATCAGGAGTTAATCCTAATGTTTCCAGCTAGGTATATATTGAGTTTTAGTTGCAGGCAAGAGCACAGCAGCTTGGCACAAGCAGCAATATTTATGTAACTTCTGTATTTATGTTGTAAGGGTGTCCAGGTGAGCTGTACTTGAGTGTAAGGAGGATGTGAGTTTTACATGCCTGTATTTCTGTAGAGTAGAGAATGTGTCTTTAAAGGTGGATAAATGCCTCTCTTTTCCAACAGGTTACCTACAAGCCCCCAGTCCCTACCGGCGAAGTGTATTTTGCAGAGTCATTTGACAAAGGAACTCTGGATGGGTGAGTGTGATCTGAGGGATGATTCGGTACAGGAAATAGTTGAAAAACTTGGTGAAAGGCAGTGAAGCCCTCTCTGCAGAGCCTGTTGTTCAAAATTGAATCAAAGGGCCCTGATTGGTGAGGATTACAGCAGTGACTCCTTGAGGGTGACTGGTAACCTTTGCTGAAGTTCTAGTGACAAGGGGGAGGTGAGCCATACACATGTAAAGATGTAATCCGCTTCTGACGTCTTACTTTGCTCAGGTAATGTGAGGATGATCATGTACTGCTTTTACGTTTTACCAAGAGTGAGACACTCACTCATGAGGCCACGATCCTGCTTTGGGGGTGGGAAGTGGCAACTGCAGAAAACTTTGCAGGCTTGGGAATGGAACTCCTCAGGGGATCAAGGCACTGGATTGAAGTCATAGGACAGGGCAGGATTTTTTGCTTGTGTGTGTAAAGGATGGTTTTTCAGCCACTGGATATTTGTCTTCTAGATGGATCCTTTCCAGAGCCAAGAAAGATGATACGGATGATGAGATTGCCAAATATGATGGTGAGTCACACCCAGGTTTTGGAGGATAAATGTTTCTAATGTCATTTGTCAAATCTGAAGAAGAGGTGCAAGTCTTTGTTTTCTGTTGCCCAATGAAAATTATATCCACTGAGGAAAAGGGAAGGGGTGTTTATATACCTGGCTAAAAATATAAAGTGTAGTTCTGATTGGGACAGAATATCCACTTGGAGATTTTTGAAACAAATTCACATTTGGTTAATTTCTCCCCAGGTAAATGGGAAGTCCAAGATATGAAGGACACTAAGCTTCCAGGAGACAAAGGGCTTGTGTTGGTAACCCGAGCCAAACATCATGCGATTTCATCCAAACTTTCCAAGCCTTTTGTGTTCGATACCAAACCTCTTATTATACAGTAAGTAAAGGATAACTTGGTGTTCTGTTGTTTCAAGGGTGACATGAGAGCAGGCTGAGGTTAATTCCATGACTGAGCTGATGTTGACTGAGGGTCTAGATGACACAAGAAGCTGTAACCTATTATTATACTGTTTTAGTAAGAGTGAAATAGTAACACAGATTCCCAGAGTGGGAAGTTAGGAACAGTGTGGATCCTTCTGAAGTCTGAAAAGGGAAGAAGTCTCTGCAGACTAGATTGGTAGCCTGTCTTGGGGCTTCAGTTCACTTGATTTAATTGTAGTAACAAGGTCAGGCAACTGACTTCTGTACTGCTAATTGTGGAAGTTCTTGTCCTTTTGAACAAAAGCTGCTCTGCATGTAGGTCAGTGCACTTCTTGTGCAGTAAACTGCTCCCTGTTCCTGAGGTGGAGTGGACAGTGGGGTAAAGATGTACTTGTTTCCTCCTTCCTGTGTCTGAGTTCATTTGCTGGAAGATAAACAGCTTGTGTAGCTCTGTTTGGCCATGACTGATGTAGAAGAATCTGCTTGCATGTTTGTTAGGTTAGCAAGTTGGGGAGAAAATAATTCAGTGAGAACAGTTAAAGTGTGGATTATTATTGGCTTTATCAGTTTTAAACAAAGAGTAAGGTAATTCATATTTGCACAAGATAATGAATTGGTCACTTTGCTTTGCCTGACTGTTTAGTTTTGGCTCAAAATACAAGGCTAAAAATAAATCCCAGTGGTCATCTACTCCAGCTGCTGGCATTGAGAGGGTTTAAGGATACTTAGCCTATTCCTGACAGAAATGTTTTGCCTTTTTCAGGCTCCTTGGCATCCCTAAATATACTGTCGTGGTCTTGTAACCCTGAAGGGGCTTCTCCTAGGGTCCAATTGTTTTGGCTTTGGTAGTCTTGCAAATGGAGTTGTCTGTCTGCTGTAGTAGTTGTGGGGAAAATAATGGGCTTATCTCAATCTCTCTTGCAGTGTCTTACATACCAGAAAGCTTTTTCTTCATTCTCTCTACGTCTAGATCATAATCTTCTAGACCAGCACTCAATTTCTTTAATCTTTTCTGTCAGGTTAAGTCTTCTAAATCTTCAATTTTTATTGTTTGTCAAGGCCCTGTGAATATTTTCTTAGTCCTCAGGAGTGCAATGTGTATTTTTAATATTCACTGGGCAAGTGATTTAAAGCAAACAACAACAAAACAGTATTAATTTGTACTTGAACGTTGTAATTGTGTATTGCAGAGGTAATTTTTCCTCATGTATAACATGTTCTCCCCTTTTTTATCCAAAATTAAAATTAGGTATGAAGTAAACTTCCAAAATGGAATAGAGTGTGGTGGGGCCTATGTGAAATTGCTTTCAAAAACCCCTGAGCTGAACCTGGTGAGTAATGCCACTGCTTTGAGCTGTTGAAAGACAGAAGCAAAATTAAAAACCTTTCTGAAGAGACCCCTTTAGTGAAGGCAGTTGGGGCCTGACTGCCAAAGTGCTTTGCACTCAGCATTTTCCCAGTATTTTCAGTTGGAGAGGATAAATACTGCAATGTAATGGCCTCTTGAGTGGAAACTCTGGAGTTCCCTCATAGCTGAGCAGTTGTGTATCTTTGCCAAACTCTGCAGTACTTCAGATTTCCCTGGGTCTAGGACCAACGAGGAGGTGCTTAGGCAAGTGGCCAGTGCATGAGGAGAGACCTTCTCAGGAAACTCAGTGCAGAAGGAACATTCAGTGTTTAATTTTCCAAAACAGCCTAATGCAAATAACTAAAAATATACCTTGTACTTATTGCCTTGCCTTTGACATGTGAATCCACTTGTGAGTTGCTGGGTATATTTAAGTCTTGAGAGCTTGGACTGGATACAATCTCACCTGTTCAGTTGCACACATGAGCTGCACAGAACCATTTGCTTCATAAGTGACCATTGAATCCATTGTCTTCAAATTGTGGTCAGTGGAAGAAACCATGATACAACTCCTAACGTTTAAGACTTATTTTCTGTCCTCTCAATCATATACTGAGCCTATTCAGACAAAGTTTAACTGCTGGGTCACCTTGCTCATAGGTTTTCTTTAGCCATCTTCCCAGACTGTACAGGGAATACCTGTTATGACTTGTTTCCCATCCTCCTTTCCTTCTGCAGTCTCACTGGAATTGTATTATTAATACAGATTCCAAAGTATTAAAAAAACCCACCCCAAAACAGCCACAAACACCCAGAAGACTACTTGACTTAATCAGTTCCATATGTGCATTGAATTGTAAGATAACATGAGTAAGAACAAACAGGCTTGCAGTGTTTGGTGCTGAGATGTTTATATCCAGTTAGTGCTCAGCTTGAGACTGTAGCCCAGTTCTGAAGTGTGAACTAAATACAACTTGGCTTCACTTTTAATGTTGCTTATCACTTTGTGTGAAAGAAACTCTTTGGCCTAGGTAGCCATTCTTTATTGCCAGAAACTGATACCTCTGTGTTGATAGCTTTAGAAATCCTTTGTTAGAGTATAGAGAGATACTGAAACCCTGTGGTTGTCACTTAACTGCTTTGATGACACTTGAATAGCCAGTGTTTTCCATGTGGAAAGTAGAGACCAAAGGTGCAAGATAAGTAGCTGGGATAATTCTAGAGTGTTTTTTTAGAGGTTGTCTGAGGAATGCAAGCTGTAGTGTGGGGACTTCATGGGCTTGATCTGCAGGTTGCAGAGTAGTTGCTAATGAGCTGGGAGTTCTTATGCCAGGCAGTGGCTTAAACTGTATTTCAAAATATGTAATGAAGTTTTGCATTGTTTCTAAAGGATCAGTTCCATGACAAAACTCCATATACAATTATGTTTGGCCCTGACAAGTGTGGAGAGGACTACAAATTGCACTTCATCTTCCGACACAAAAACCCAAAGACTGGCAAATACGAGGAGAAGCACGCGAAGCGCCCGGATGCAGACCTGAAGACTTACTTTACTGACAAGAAGACTCATCTTTATACTCTAGGTCTGGTGACTGCTAACTTGCTGCTTTCATAGTGCCAGACAAGCTCAGGGGTTCTTGGAATAGCATCTGGTGTATTAGCAATGACTAAAATCTTTCAGGGAGTACTCAGGAGTATCTCTGTAACTTTTCCTACTATAGAGACAGCAGTGGATAAAAGAGTGAGACTAAAACTCTGTTAGTCAGTAGTAGGAAGTCTTATTCTTGAGTTGAATGTGAATATGTATATTCTTAGTACTAGAGCAACACTTCTGTGCCAGTGTCAACTTGTTTTGGTAACTGCTAAATTACAAACCTCTCTGTGCTTTTAGCATGTTTAAAGTAGGACTCATGCCATGAGTCTTTTCTCACAAGGTGAGAGATGGTACATCACCAGTAGTTATACTTTGGCATAAGGAGAAAGGCTCTTAACAGTTCTTTAAAGCAGTTGCAGGATAGGTGGTAGCTTGGATTGTGCAGTGGGGATGAGTGATGCTTTATGATTCATGCTTGGTATTGTATATGGAGTGACTACATCAACATTTTTCCTTACAGTCTTGAATCCTGATAATAGTTTTGAGATACTGGTTGATCAAACAGTTGTCAACAGTGGGAATTTGCTAAATGATATGACTCCCCCTGTGAATCCTCCCCGAGAGATTGAGGACCCAAACGACCAGAAGCCTGAGGACTGGGATGAGAGACCAAAGATCCCAGACCCAGATGCTGTTAAACCAGATGACTGGTAAGCTCTTGGAGGGTTGGAATTGAGGGAGTCCTTAGCCCAATAATTTGGTCCAGATGAAAATGTCTTTCTCAGGTGACTTGCAGTGGCTTTTGAGTCTCACCCCTGTAACCAAAACACGATCAGTTTAGGCATCTTAGCAGCATTTTGGTAGACAAAGGCAGGCAGGTTCCATGTCCTCTGGGGATTCCTGTTTAGTGCTCCTGTTACTGTGCTGGCCACAGACAAAGATTTTACTGAAACACCTGTTGCTTTCATCCTCGATGAGATCAAAAAGATGATCTGCAGAAGGTATAACTGAAAGATGTTTGTAGTTGTTTGTGTTAAAGTGACTGAAAAAATCTGACATCCTAAATCAGAAACTGCTCCTGGCTTTGTCTTTGAGCCTGTGCTTTATGAATGATAGACTCAATTTCAAGCTCAAATGTGTGTTGGCAGCGACTGCTGAGATATGGGATTTGCTGTAATAAGCCCTTTCTAGATTGGCTTTAAAAAAGTAAGTAGTATTACCTTGCAGTTGGCACTGGTATGAGTATACCATGAGGCACATTATAGGTAATGGATTGCAGGCCTGTTCCTTTCCAAAATCATGGTGTTACCCTGGCAGAGTGAAGGTGGCTTGTTGTCTGATCAGTGGGCTGGTTCCCAGTCTGTCGAACAAAGAACCCTGAGGTGGTGTGTGTGTTAACACATAATGTTCTGCTCTCAAGGGATGAGGATGCTCCCGCAAAGATCGCGGACGAGAACGCTGTGAAACCAGAGGGTTGGCTGGATGATGAGCCAGAGTATGTGGCAGACCCTGATGCTGAGAAACCTGAAGATTGGTAAGTTTAGTGCCTGTTGCAAGTGGCAGCAAATATTTCATGGCTTGGGTACTGACTTTTACAAGTATAAGAATAGCAAGTTCATTGTTGCTTGCTAACAAAATTAGTGATTCAGGGTATTTTGCTTCCAAAGCAGAAGGCAGAGTTGGTCTGAGGGGTCTTGTCTTGTGTTCACCTGTGCGTTTTTAAGTCTTCTGTGACTGTAAGCAGAACAGGACAGGGATATTAATCTTGTAGTTGCAGTGTACTTGGAAAGGGCAGTGGGGGAGGCTGTGCTCAGGGACTGACTTTTATTGAACCTCTTTGCTTCCAAGTTACTCTTTGAAATCCTCATTCCTTCTACAGACCTGTTCTATACAAAGTTTCAGTATCTCTATTTTATGGTAGAAATTTTAATTTTCCCAGAAATCTGACATTGTCTTAAGTCTTACTCTGTATGAAGGCAAGGGTTGGACTTCAAAACTGCATTTCCCTTTTCAGGGATGAAGATATGGATGGAGAATGGGAGGCACCTCAGATTGCAAACCCTAAGTGTGAAGCAGCCCCTGGCTGTGGTACCTGGCAGCGCCCAATGATTGACAATCCAAACTACAAGGGCAAATGGAAGCCTCCTATGATTGATAATGTGAACTATCAGGTTGGTGTTTTCATTGCTTAAGCTGGTGGCCAGTGCAGCATTTCTCTTACAGAAAGCAGAATGATTTAGTTTCAGCAGGTGTAATTAAGAGCTCAAATGCTGTCATGATTGTACCGTGTTTCAAAGATTCAAAGTGCTTTCTTAGCAGGCTTCAATTCTTTGTAACACAGTGAAAATTGATTCCCAAAACCTAAGAATTGCACCCATAGACACAGTAATTAAGTGCAGTGGGTTGGTCATTCTCTCCATTCAAAATAGGCTGAAAACTAATAATTGTCTTTTGGGAGGCAAGGCTGAATGTCTTTTGTCTTTCCTAGGGTATCTGGAAACCTAGGAAGATCCCAAATCCAGATTTCTTTGAAGACTTGGAACCTTTCAAGATGACTCCCTTCACTGCTGTCGGGCTTGAGTTATGGTCCATGACATCTGACATCTTCTTTGACAACTTTATCATCTGTACTGAAAGAGCTGTGGCTGATGATTGGGCCAGTGATGGATGGGGACTGAAAAAGGCAGCAGATGGTGCTGCAGAGGTGAGAGATGAAGGTTTAATTGTGTACTGCAGAGTGGAACAGCAGAAGTGGAACAGCATTGCTGCTGTTCTCTCCCACAGCCTTTATCAGCATATACTTCTCTGTACCAAGGCTGAGGGTTATGCTAAACCAGATTGGAGCTTCAGCTCCTTATTACAGTGTGGTAATGGTTGCTATTATTAACTATGAGTACTCCCTGTTCTCTTCTGTGTTCTTCTCTGATAATTGGACAAGTTTAGCCTAAATCTTAATTTGTAAACTATGGAAAAAGTACTTGTGCAGGTTAGCTTTAATTTTTTAGAGGCATGAAATAGAATGTTTGAAGTATGGGATAAAATTTGACAGTTCTTTTCCTCACACAGCCTGGTGTCGTGGGCCAGATGATGGCAGCTGCTGAGGAGCGTCCCTGGCTTTGGGTGGTCTACATCCTCACTGTGGCTTTGCCAGTGTTTCTTGTTGTCCTTTTCTGCTGCTCTGGGAAGGTAATGCTTTTCCTCTGATAATTAATGTAATGTTTTTTAAAAGAGGTTCAGTAAAACGTGCCCTAATGTCACAAAAAATTGCCTGAGTTTGACATTGTCTTTTAGAAACAACCAAGTGCTGCTGAATACAAGAAGACTGATGCTCCTCAGCCTGATGTGATGGATGATGAGAAAGAGGAAGACAAAGACAAAGGGGACAAGGAAGAGGAGGAGGAAGAGGAAGCAAATGAGGATAAGCTAGGTAGGTAAACTAGATAATCTTGAACAATATTCTCCCTGATAGAAGAAACCAGCAGGATTGCTGACATGGAGTGAAGCCAATGGTGAAGCAAAGATAAGTCAGGAATGAGTGATATTTTTTTGTTATTTCCCTTAGAAGAGAAGCAGAAAAGTGATGCTGACTTAGGAAGTGCTAGTCAAGAGGAGGAGGAAGAGGAAGAAGACAGGAAAGCTGCATCAGAGGTAAGTGTGTTTGACCTTTGAGGGGGAGCCAGTGCATTTTTTTCTGTAGGCTATGTAGAACAGGCCTTACTGCAGTGTTAAAAGTTAACCTGCATCATGTGATACTCCCTCTCAGTGTTAGAACTTTGGAAAACTTAATCACCCTGCAGGATGGGAATTGCTGTGGCAAACTTGAGGAGAGCTGGGCACGTTGTTAAAGGCACTGCCACAGAGCCTACACTGAGAGAGGAGTGGGGCTGTGTGGAATGCATCTTCCTAGGGCGAAAGGCTTACTCAGCTTTGTGTGCAGTCAGGATGTGACCTTTTAAGTGCTCCACACGACATAATGGCTGACTTAAAAGTGGGTGGAGTGTTGAAGTTAAAGGATTCTCCCAGCAGCAGAAGCTGTACAGTGCTCCCAGCAAACAATATGAACATCCACTGTGAAAATGAGGATTAGCCACAAAGTTGTTACAGCAATAGATCCTTTCAAAAATTAGATCATAATTAGAAGTGAAAGGAGATTATTCTTTGTAGATTTGCTCAAAATGGTTATTAAGGGTGTTTTTAGGGTTTATTTCCTTGATGTTTACACAAATTACTTTCTTGCAGGAGGAGGAAACTGTGAATAGATCACCCAGAAACAGAAAGCCAAGGAAAGATTGAAAAAAAAAAAAAAGTCATAAGAACTTGATCTGTGATTTATTTTTTTTTCCTGTTGTTTTCAAACATGGTTCTGGGAGAGGACCTTGGACACCTTACATTGAAACTTGGACAAACCTCAAGATTTCACCATCCACAGGTTCCAGTCACACTATCCAATGTAATGGAGTGTCTAGCAGTAAAATATTTGCAGTCATCTGTTTTAAAGAACATCATTCCTGTAGAAAGAATGCATTTAATATAATGGGCTGTGGATTTTGGAATGTAACATAACTAACCTGTTCATTTTTGGTTTTAAATATTCTTTTCTGTTTCTAAGTAGATTGGTAGAATTTTTCTGGTCTCAAACCTTGGCTTAATTTAATATATTAATTAGTGAAATATAACAATGAACCTTGAAAGTGCTAGGTGATAAAAATGCAGTTTTATAACTAGTTTTTTTTACAATATGTAAATTCCTAAATGCACCAATGTCTTTATATCCCTTAAAATTTGGGAATTGTTTAAAGAAAAGTTGTCAGTGTATTTGACAACTCCTCTGCCCTCAACAGAACAGTCAGGGGGATGTGTGAGCAAACCAGTAGTGAAACTCTCTAATCAATCAACTTCATTCTTTTGGGGGGAGGGGAAGGAGGAAGAAGGGGTGGAAGGAAGGGTTAGGCAGCCTATAGAATATGCATACTGTGCATGGCTAAAGCCCTGGTAAGTGTTGGCAAACAGTCTAGGATTTGGTTTGGATCATCTCAAAGTGGCATTTGATCCTGCAGACATGGCAGATAAGCAGTTTTGTTTGTTCTTGTGTTTTTTGTGAAGTTGATGGGTTGCTGGGGAGGTGTGGTTAGGCTACTTCCCCCTTTCCCCTCTGTTCAGCCACCAGTGCTTTCCTCTCTCTGTGTCAGCTCTTCCTGAGTGCAGCTTTGCCTCAGCTGCTGAAGCACTTCATGTTCAGCTCATTGTCAAACTCGATTTCATAGCTAGGCCTACTCCTTTCCAGGGTCCAAACACTGAACAGGACAGTGTCCCATATCCTCTCACTATTGTCACTTATGTCTACTGTAGAAAGGGGGGGAGGTAGGCAGGTAGACAAGTTGAACTGAGTATTTAAGGAGAAAAAAAACCCACAACCAAGATGTCAGTATTGTAGGTGGGGAAGGAGCATGTGGAATATCTTAACTGGTATGTGAAACTGTTTGAGTCATTTATCTGCTCTTCATGTAACAAGTGCATTCTAAATTATATTGTGAATGTTAGGGAGTTCCAATTCCAGTTGAATAAATTTTTTTAAAGCATTGAGTCTACCATATGCTACTGTTTCAAACACTTGTGTGGAATGCAGGTGACCACTACAAGAGCATTTACCTCCGAGGGTGAAATCCATGTAATCCATAACACTGTACCAAATATGTTGGCGTTTGGATGTCTATATAGATACATTTTTGCCTTTGTTTAGAGTGAAATTAAATGTTCTGAAATTACTCTTCTTGCACTGAATTTAAAACACTCCAGTGTTGTTTGGTTATAGGATAGGTATAGTGTGGGGAATAACTCCCAGGGGTTGGGGAGGGAAGAATATTCCAATTTCCTTGCAAACAATCTAACCAATTACTAAAAGACTCTTGGGGGTTTGGTTGTTCTTTTTTTTTTTTTTTTTTTTTGGTAAAACACCTTTTGCTGCCTGTCCTTATGTTGTATCCCTTGGTTGTTGTGTTTGAAATATTAGTGATCACAAATGCATAGCAGGATTTCTTGATCTTTCTGCAGTGTGCAAATAAACTATTGTAAGCAAGATCCTGGAAGTAATTTCAGACTTCTGTTGGGAGCTATTGCATGTTTAGAATGCCTTTGCCTGTTGAACACCTGGTAAATTCTGCTCCTTATTGCAAAAATAGCTTATACTCTGACATGGAAGATGTCACAGCTTAAGCATTGCTACTAGCTTGTTCTCAGGACTGTATTTTTATCAAGGAGCAGCTGCTATTTATGACTCTCAGTCCTTTGAGATGAAGTATGTGTAAATGGTTTCAATTCAGCTAACATTTTGAGCACAACATAAAAAAATCTATTAATCTAATGTTTTTTATCTTAATCTGCAAATTGCCTTAAACTCCCAAACAATTCCTGTGCATACATGTTCTTTCAAAGCATCAAACGTGAACCTGAGATCTGCTATCAGCTTTTAAATAGTATTATATTAAAGCTAATTGTAAATCTACATTTGCTTCTGCTAAATCTCCTGAAAAAGTCTCCTGTCTGCATGTTATGCCTTTTCTTTTTGATACCATAGTGTATGCTTTAAATAATCACTACAATAAATGAAGACTTTCCAAAATGGAGAGACAACTCAAGTTACTTCTTATCCTGCTTCCTGACTTGGGTGCCTCAGTCTGACCTCAGCATCGCTCTTAAAAGTCTTGGAGGAAAACAAGAGTTATCTGCTTATCCTGAGTGCTTTTAAAGCATGGCTGTGTTTTTTAAAGCAGTGAAGCTCCACCTGGTTGTAAGCTGTGAAGTAGATTTGGAACTGTTAAAAATACTTGAAGGTGTACTTGGACCTTGTGTGTTTGTGCACCCAAGGGTCGCAGCTCTTGGAAAGGATGCTGTGCCTGATGTGCTGTGTCTGGAGAGGAGGAGGGTGTGTTAGGCTGAGGTGGTCAATCCAAACAGCCCTGGGCTCTGAAACACAAGGCAGCAGAAGTGCTAAAACCTGCTTTTCTCCCAGAGCTGACTTTGGGTCAGGGGTCTTGATAAGGATGCAGCTAACCAACTAACCCTTCCAGAGGTGTCACTGGGTGTGATCTAAGCTTGCTGGGTCTCATGGATAGTGAATTGTCACAGGCCTCTCCAATGCATTTTCAATGTGTGTATAAGATCGGCCCCTGGGGCTGAGGAGAGATTCTTGCAAGCTCCAACTGCTCACA